ACACACTCTGACTCAGGCTTTCATGATCTTTCCCTTGGATTGTGGCAATAACCTTCTGAGAGCTCTCCCTACACAGCTGTATGATGGAAGTACAAATCCATCTTCCACATAGCTGTCAGATTGATAATCCTAAAACCCAAGTCTGACCATGCTGTTCCCCTGCTCAGAAATCCTCAGTAGCTCATTATTACATTGAGCAGAGGTTCCCAAACTTTCTTGGTTCACACATCTCAATAATTTTTTTGCAGCACCCCTAGGCCAAAAAACAAAACAAAACAAACAAACAACAACAAAAAAAAAACCCAACCCTAATAGTTCCTTTAATTAAGGAGTTAGGTAGAAACAGCTTAAAAAGTATTTATACCCTAACAATTTAATAGTCATTTTTTAAAAAAATAACACATAAATTGAAAGAAGAAGTAACCGTTTTCTTTCATTCTTACATAGCCACAGTTACTTCCTAATGGGTTTAGTGCCCCTGCTGGTAACTGCACAGCTTGTCAGATTTTGGAATCTGGTTACTGGTACTTCTTTTTATCACGGCATTTCCCCAGAACCCAGCTTCACAAAGACATGATGTAGCAAATGACAAGGTTCAAGAAGTTACTGGCTGGCCCAGAGTACAAGTGAATAAAAACATCTTAAACATTTGAGAATGCCATCTTCATTGAAGTAGCTCAATTGAATGAACTACCTGGAACTGGGAGTTAGCACTCAGGACAGTATCAGGTGACAGATATGGCTGTGTTTCCCTTAAAAATTTAAAATATCCCACTGCCCCTGGGATTAGCAAGCCTGGGAGTACAGCATGCCTGGGAACTGGACATGGAAGATAAAACATAAAATCGATAATGAGGCTGCTGGGCCTGGAGCCAGGAAGACCTGAGTTCAAATTCTGAGACTAGCTATATGACTGACTTTGCAGCTCACTTTGCCGCTGTCTGCCTCAGTTTCCTCAGCTCTGTTGTTTTGTTCGGTCATGTCCAGCTAGTCATGACCTCATTTGGGCTTTTCTTAGTAAAGATACCTAAGTGGTTTGCCATTTTCTTCTCCAGCTCATTTTACAGATGAGGAAACTGAGGCAAACAGGGTTAAGTGACTTGCCCAGAGTCACCTAGCTAGTAAATGTCTAAGGCCAAATTTGAATTCAAGAAGATGAATCTTCCTGACTTCAGGCTGGGTGTTCTACCTACTACCTACTTAGCAATCTGGCTTCTCCCTTCTTCAACTATAAAATGGGGATAATAATAGCACCTCCCTTACTGGATTGTTGTCAGGACCAAATGAGATAATATCTGTAAAGCACTTATCACAGTGCCTGGCATATAGTAGGCACTTAACAAATGCTTGTTCCCTCTGTTCCTTTCCCCTTAAAAATCCTTTACAATCTGATTTCCACCTAATTACTTTTCCAGTCTTATTTCATGTTGCCTCTATTCATAAACTCTCCAGTCCAATCCAATTGGCCTCATAGCTATTGGCTGAACTTGCTATTCTAGCTTCTGCCTCTTTGTCTTGTTACAGTCTGTCCCTTTTTCTTTTTTTTAAATGCCCAGTCTTCCCTCTTTCTGCCCATGAGTATTGTTGAAACTCTGAGGGACTTCCCCTCCCAGACTGATTCTTTTGTGAAGGCAAACTATGCCATCTTTTGCCTCAATTCTTACCTAGCTTTTAATTACTGAATGGGTGTTGCCTCAGACCAACTGAGATCTGGGAGAGATCTTAGCTGAAAAAGGCTGAGGTCTTCCACTGCATCCAGGGCCATCACCAGTTGTCCTGACTGTGTCTTACCACTGGACTCTGATACTCTGGAAGAGACACTGAGGCTGGTGACTTTGCACAGCCCTGCCTCGCTTATATCCAATTCACTTGCAAGTCAACACATCACCTTCCTGACGTCACTGGTCCTCTTCAAGAGTAACAGCAACAACGAGCATCGTTAGTTGCCTTCCAGGCTCTGCTTGAGTGAAATCTCCAATGTGAAATCTTGCCCAGTGCCAACTCCTCCACCCCACCAAGTAGTCCATGCTGCTTTCCTCTTCCTCTACTTGTCTCGTATTTACTTGTGTCTTGCATTATTTGTACTTGTGTCTTGTATTCTCTTGCATTGGTTTTATACGTTTTCTCCTCCTGTAGACTGAGCTCTGTGGGAGTTGGTGCCTCACTTCTCCATCAAAGCACAGTGCTTTAGGTTTTCTCTTTGATTGATGTAGAGAGCTCCGGGAGAGAAGCTTTCTTTAATAATGCAGATCTTCTGCTATTCAATCCTAAAGGGATGCACAAGGCATTGAGAGATTGCTCTGTGTCACACGGTGGGTTTGTGGTAGAGAAAGGAAGGGAATGAGCTTTAAATATCACCTACTATAATGCCTAGGGGTAGTCAGATGGTGCAGTGGATGGAGCACCTGGCTTAAAGTCAGGAAGACCTGAGTTCAAATCCAGCCTCAGACACTATCTGTGTGACAAGTCACTTTACTGTTTGCCTTAGTTTCCTCATCTGTAAAATGAGCTGGAGAAGGAAAAGGCAACACTCCATTATCTTTGCCAAGAAAAGCCCAATTGAGGTCATGACTAGCCAGACATGACTGAACAAAACAACAGAGCTGAGGAAACTGAGGCAGAGAGAGGTTAAGTGAGTCGCAAAGTCAGTCATATAGCTAGTCTCAGAATTTGAACTCAGGTCTTCCTGACCCCAGGCCCAGCAGCCTCATTATCGATTTTATGTTTTATCTTCTATGTTCAGTTCCCAGGCATGCTGTACTCCCAGGCATGCCAATCCCAGGGGTGGTGGGATACTTTACATTTTTGAGGCGAAGTCAGGTGCAGACATGACTGAAATGACTGGACAACAAGCATATACTGTGCTAAATGCTTTACAAACATCACATTTGATCTTCACAACCACTCTGTTAGGTACAGTTATTATTCCCATTTTATAATTGAGGAAACTGAGGCAGACAGAGGTTATGTGAGTTGCCTAGGGTCACATAGCTAGTAAGTGTCTTAAGACTGGATTTGAACTTAGGTCTTCCTAATACCAGGCCCAGGCCTCTATCACTGCTGTCATCTTCCTAACTCTTTGGCTAGCTCTCTATCCACTACACCACACTGCTTCCCTAAGAGCTTTGTACATAGTAGGCACTTAATAAATGCATGTTAAATTGAATTGCTTATTTGGAAACATGTCTCCAGCTAGGTGGTGCAGTGGATAGAGCACTGGCCCTGAAGTCAGGAGGACCTGAGTTCAAATCGGGTCTCAGACCAAACACTTGACACTAGCTGTGTGACCCTGGGCAAGTCACTTAACCCCATTTGCCTAAAAAAAAAAAGAAAAGAAATATGCCCCCAGGGGGCAGCTAGGTGGCACAGTGGATAGAGCACTGGCCCTGGATTCAAGAGGACCTGAGTTCAAATGTGGCCTCAGACACATAACACTTACTAGCTGTGTGACCCAGGGCGAGTCACTTAACCCCATTGCCTCGCCAAAAAAAAAAATAAAAAAAAAGATAGAAATATGCCCCCAAAGTTATTAAACTGTGAATACTCTTTGAGCCAATGCTACTAGGTCAATGCCCAAAAGAGATCAAAGAAAGAGGAAAAGGACGCATATGTACAAAATACTTACAACATGTCTTCGTCAATTGAATGTGATGGAATGATATTATTGTGCTACAAGAAATGATGAAGGGGGTTGTTTCAGAGAAACCTAGGAAGACTTATATGAACTGATACAAAGTGAAATGAGTAAAACCAGGAGAATAATATATATAATAACAGCAATATTGTAAAGACAAACACTTGGAAAGATTTAGGAACTCTGATCAGGAACTCTGCTAAATACAACGACCAACAATAATTCCAGACAACTCATAATGAAACATGCTACTCACCTCCAGATAGAGAGTTGATGGACTCAGAGGGCAGACTGGAGCATATTTTTTTGGACACAGCCAATGTGTGAATTTGTTTGGCTTGACTCTGCATTTTTGTAATAGGTTTTGTTTATCTTGTTTTCTGATGTCAGGTCAGGGGAGGTGGGAGAAAGCAGATGTGGATCTGAAAAGAAAATAAATAAATAGAATTTTAAATAAAACTCAAAATAATATAATTAAAATAATTATAAATTATAAAATAAAATTATTTCAAATAATAATAATAGAATTTTAAAAATAAATTGAATTGCTTGTTGAAGGCATGGAGGAGTTGCCATCTGTACCAATGGAGGGTGTACTCCCACACGGAGATCAAACAGCTAAGAATCAAAGTAAAGGAGCCAAAAATGGTTTGTTTAGAAAGTGTACATTTAAAAAAAATCACTAAAAGGGGGAAAAAGCACATCAAAAATCAATTTTGTTTGGAGAATGTTAAAGGGCCTTGAGCAAAGCGGATGTAATGAATGTTTATTGAGTAGTCTTTTTTGGAATTCAGTTTGACAGTGGCTCCATACTTACACTTAGATGATTAAGGATAGGGAATTCCTCATCTTTGGATTTTGTTCAGGAATTCTTCATGACTTTGGGGAACACCTTTGGTGAGCAAAAGTCACAAAACCAGATCAAGGAACCATAATTTGGTCCCACGGGGCCACAAGTCTTTGCAAAAAAAAAAAAATTTTATATATATATATGTATATATATATATTTATATTTATATATTGCATACTCCAAATGAAGTTTTGATGGGGGGGGCAAATTCCAAGAAACGTCACACAGGGAAGTGAAACTTATTTAGGCAATGTAAGAAAGGGACTTGAAGGCAGGGTATCCTATCCTCACCATAGCCCCCATGCCACTTGTGGGTTAGGTCATCCTTGGGCAGCCTTCTAGGAGAAGGCATCCTCTTCCTGCTATTTAATACTCCTGGTTACCTTTCAGGATATCTTAGGTGACTGTTTGAAGGGAACTGGGGCTGTCATAGGTCAAATCTCCCAGATGGAGGAATCTACAGTGCAACACCACAGGAGTAAGGCCTAATCTAGCTTCCCGGATTCTCCCCCACAGGTTCCTGTGACCTTTGAAGATCTGGCTGTCAAGTTCTCTTCTGATGAATGGCATCTCCTAGAGGAATGGCAGAGGGAATTTCATCGGGATGTGATGAGGGAAAACTATGAGACACTGGTCTCCCTGGGTATGAGGCTGGCAGATACAGTGCGGTATGGTGTCTGGGAATTGTAGCCAGATGGGATTTCCCACAGGATTTCAAGTCATATCTCAGGAGGCTGCATGATACTAGAAGGCACCTCACCTCTTTGTCACCTAGGGCCCCTCTCTTGGGCCTAAATTTTCTTACCTCTAAAATAAAGAGCTTTGAATAAATCAGGATTTCTCAACCCAGGGTGCATGGGCCTTCAAGTGATCCATGGATAGTGTTCAGGGGCTCTGTAAACCTGAATGGGAAAAAAAATACATCTTTATTTTCACTAACCTTTAACTGAAATCTAAATGTTTCTTTAACTAGATGGTCCAAGGCCCCTTTCAGCTGTAGCATACTTTCATTTCTGGGCAGAGCGGCAGGAGCTCGTTAAATAGTATGTGTGCCAATAAAGAAGAAATGGAAGTATTCCGTTAAGCTAGTTCCCTACCCTTGACTCTCCCTGCCATTGTCTTGGCCCTTTACTAGGCAGATTTGAACTGCAGGAGTCATTTAGGACCTGTGAGGAAGGAAGCCAAAGGGATTGGTCTATTCAACACAGATAAGGGAGGACCTTTTTATAATATTTGCTGAGAGAAAAGCAACTTTCTTGCTGTATCGCCATTTATCTAAAGGGTTTGCTGATGGAAAGATTGTGATTTCCATAGCATTTGGACAAGTGAGAGATCTCCTGAGGACTGAGGTGAGATGGGAAAACCTCAAACTAGAACACATGAGTATGTAAAGGAGTATGTGTGCCCAAGGCTTTGTGGATAGGTAGACGCCCCCAGTTTTGTGTATGTGTATGGGGGAAGGGAAGGGGCTGGTTCATATACTGTATTCATGTTTCTGTGCACAAGAGTGGTACCTGGTTCCCCTTCCCAGAGTGAGGCTTCCTATTATCTTCCTTAGGGACAGCTCAGCTGCTTCCACTCTCTGCATTCCTATCCCTGACAGAACCCCAAGAGGATATGGGGGACAGTGGCTGTTCTGATGGGGAATGGGAGAGGCCTGGAGGAGGACTCCAGGGTAAGTGAAAATGGGCCTCTCCCAAGGTCACTCTGACCATCTCTAGGCATCCTCAGGCTAGATGGGTTCCTGAAACCCCACCACCTGGCCTTCCACCTGGATCTTTTGTCCTCAGCCCCTCTGATCTCAGCTTCTCTCTGTCTTTAGTTCCTCAACCCCAGAGTATGAAATATTTGGAGATGTTTTGAGCTGATCCAGGCTTTAGTATCAGCAGCCTGAGTCCATACATGAAAAGCCCCTCCCCCTCCCCCCCAACCCACATCTTGGGGACTAACTTCTTGACTCTTAACTTTCAACTGGTGTCATCCTGGCCATATCTTTGGCAGAGAAATCTGGCAATATGCACACACCTGCCCCTCCTCTTCATCCCAGGAAAAGAGCTGGAGATCTCTGATGCTGATGCCTGTGCGGACACCACCCAGAGGGCTCAAGCCTTGGATGAGGCGCAGAGCTCAGGTGGGGCAGGTGAAGGTAGGACTGACCTGACTGAAGGGAGTGGAATGGAAAGGCTGAAGAAAGGGGTCCCTTGTGGAATTCCCCATGAGGTCATGGAGAAGCAAGGGGAGGGGGGGGCCACAGGAATCAAGAGATTTTGAGTTCTAATTCTGGCTGTGTGGCATACATCGCTCCTCACCTCCATCTCTTAGGGCTTGTGAGGATCAAACGAGCTAAGGCTTGTAGAGTGCTTCGCATGGTGCCCAGCACTAGGTGCTGTATACATGTTAGCTGTTATTGTTATCAGCTATTATCTCTCATTTTCTTCCAGGCTCAGCTCAGGTGCTCTCTCCTTTGTGAAGCCTTTCCTGATTCTTTCCCGCCCCCAATCGTTAGTGTTCTCTTCCTCCCCAGGCTATTTTGTATCTGTAATTATCAGGTGTCTGGGTATATGTTATATTCCTCCTAGTAGAATGTAAGCTCCTTGAAGGCAAGAATGGTTTCATTTTTATCTCTGTGCTTCTGACACCTAGCATAGTACCTTGTGTGGGGTTGGCACTCAACAAATAATGAATTATTGAATTATGCTAAGATGTTGGGTGGATCCCTTAAAGTTCCTGGGCCTCATCTTTTCATATGTCATCTTCATTTTTGCTTTGCCTGCCTCAAGGTTATGGTGGCGAGCAAATGAGATAATAGATAGGAATTCTCTTTTCATAATTAGTAGATGCTGCTGCTGATAATAACAACAACCATAACAATAACAAAGATTATGTTCTTTGAACCTGCCAGTGGGTCAGCAACAGGGCAGCCTTCACCTCAGTGCCCTAGTCCGTTTGGTGAAGGAGATTCCAGAGTTCCTGTTTGGTGAAACCAAGGCCATGGATACCCCAGAGATCCCTGAGAGCGAGGAAAGTGGTTCAGAGGGGGAGAGACTGAGCTTGGAAGGTGAGTATGGCAACTACAGCAGGTGTTTCCCTTTTGCTGCTTTCACTAATTTTCTCTTCTTTCTAGAAGATTTCATTCAGGCCATCAGCCAACACTGTGAACTGAGTGTAGAAAGCCACTTATGGGACTACAGAAGACACAGTTCCTTCCCCTGAGGAACTAGATGAATACGTATCCTATCTTCTCTTTTCCATAACAGCAGCCATGACTGTGGATGCCAGCCCCCTCCAGGGCTTGCTGAACTGCCTCCCAGAGATTCCTATCAGCAGGCCTGCCCTGGCTGTCACACCTGCCAGCAGCTCATCTAACAGCGGTCTACAAGGGGATGGGGACCGAGAGCTGAGGACCCCAGAGCTGGGACCCCAGACCCTGTACCCCTATGGTGAGACCCCCTGGTTTAGTCCGAGCTAATAGCCCTGGGGACAAGGAATCTTTAAAGGCCTAGGCCAAGGAGTGGGCAAGGTCCAGAACTAAGCTCTGAGACACTCATTTGGTACTCATTTAGTCTCTAACTCCTGATTGATAGATAGCAGGACCTTGAATAGATGCCCTCTTATTTGATAGGCCTAGATTCCCTCTCCTAAAAAAAAAATGAGAAGGCTTCCTGCCTAATCACCAGGTGAGTAGTGAGAAAGTTAGGAAATATTTATTGAGCCCACAAAGGTCATAGCAGATGGGCTGCAGATTAGTAATGAGACATAGTCCCTTGCTCTCAAGAGATTTCCATTAGAAATGGAGTTGGTCACAAAGGCACACAGTTATCAACAGAGATTATAATTGCATATGAACCCAGAAGGTAGGAGTTGGTTAGCACACATGCATAGGTATTCACAACAATAAATTAAATGCCTGTTATATACAAGGTATGGTGCTAACCCTGGGGATGGGGGTGGGGGGTGGTGAAGAGGGAAGATTAAGTAAGACTTAGTCCCTTCATTCAAGGACCTTACAGTTGGATGTACAAGCACCTTACCCATTGGTAAGGTTTATTCACACTGATGGTCATGTGCAATTGCTGCTTTTTCTTTGGTTAGGCTGAGCTCCAAGATACTCTAGAAGGGGAAGATGCTCTTTAGCACTTTATGGGAACCATCTTGTTCCTTAGAATTAAAGAAGAAGGGGAGGCAGCTAGGTGGCAAAGTAGATAGAGCTCCAGCCTTGGAGTCGGGAGGACCTGAGTTCAAATGCAGCCTCAGACACTTGACACTTACTAGCAGTGACCCTGGGCAAGTCACTTAACCCTGATTGCCTTACCAAAAAGCAAAAAAAAAAAAAGAATTAAAGCAGAAGGGTAGGGAAGAAACCTCTTCTCTACCCCCAAAATGAGATTCCTAAAGGAGTCAGCCCACACCAAGACCCAGAGCCTAGAGCTCAGGCACCTGTTGTCTTGACTAGAATTCATGGGCATTTTGAGAGCTGGAAATAATTTCCTGTCTTCTCCTTTATTAGAAACAGCTGCCAAAACTAGTCCCTTGGACATCAGCAGGAATGCTAATGGGAAAGAGGATCCAGAAATGTCAGCTAGCCAATCTAATACTCCTGTTTTCACTGGCACTCAGAAACAGAAGCAGTTGGGGACCATGAGACAAGGTAAGACATCTGCTCTACCATCTTGGGAGATCCAGACAATGGGCAAGGCAGAGGCAGGTAGTGCCATGTAATGAATCAAACACTGGACTTGGGATTGGAGGGCCTGGGTTTGAATCCTATCTAGATCTACTAAGGGCATTGAGTGAGTTTCCTTTTTTGTCAAAATTAGTTTTCCCATCTATAAAAATAAAGAGATTAGACCAGATCCATGTCTCAGATCACTTCCAGCTCTATCGTTCTATAATTCTATGACTAGAAATCAGGAGATCTCAAGTTTAAACTTGCCTTGCCGCTAGCCTGATGTGCAACCTCGTGTGAATCTTTTTGCCTCGTTTTCCAAGGGCCTCAGTGTCCTTCTTTGTAAAATGAAAGGGGTTTTGAAGGTGATCCTTGAGGTGCTTCCAGCTCTAAAACTCTTTGTGCTAAGAAGGGTAAATAAGAAGAACTTAAGGAAATATGGAAAAACTTAGGTGAAGTGAAGATTAATATGCACACTGAGTATGGAAAAAGATAGCATGCGCACAAATACAGGGATGAATGGACATTAAAGGAAGAAAATAGCAAATAAATTGCCATCTTTAGGTTGGAAGTAGTTTAAAAATTTGGTGTGAACCTGTTGTTTCATTGGTGTAGTGAACTCTAGGCAAATGTCAGTAATTCATGGTCTGAGAGCTTTGCCTGGGAGCACTTGAGAGGTTAAGGGATTTGGTCACATAGCTGGTCTGTGTCAGAAGCAGGACTTGCAACTTTCCACCTCAAGGACCAACCCTCTACCCACTACTTCATGCTGCCTTTTATTTGTTAAAATGATAAATATAAATTTAATTGGTTCTGTTAGTATACAAAATTAATTTCACAATATATTCCTCATTAAACAATAATTGATCTATGTATTGAATCCTTTAAATCTTCAGGAATGTCTCATGAATTTGATGATGCTTTAAATTTTTCATTTACAAGTTCACTGTATCTAGAATCAAACAAAAAACTTTAAAACTTGGTACATTGCTAAGCTCTTAAATAATGTTTACCCTTAGGGGTATGGTAATGTAGAATCAGGATTTGAGGCCTGTCTTACTTCCTTGTGCTTCTAGGGAGCTTGGCGTAACTGCAAAGGACTATGGGTAGACTAGATATTGCTACCTTGAAATCAATTGATCAATCCATAAATATTTATTAGATACCTACTATTTGCCAGCACTGTGCTAAGACTATGAAAAATTGCCATGGGAAACTTTGCAGGCCAAACAGTGGAAAACTCCTGCTCAACCATCTGTAATCATATGCTGTATTACTTGCTCTTGAAATATTTCAGTCACTCCCAAATCTATACTAACTTTCATTAATCTTTTTGTCTACTCAATTTAGTATGAGAGATTATATAATCTTTACTTGATTAATTTTAATTTATTTAATTCAGATTTTGCCCAGCTCAAAGAGTATCTTGTCCATGACATTTATGCTTACATTTATAGAGGGCTTTGCAGTTTGCAAGGCAGTTTCACCTACAATATATCACTTACCTTCCTAATAATCCTGAAAAGTAGATAAGTGTAGACCTATTATCTCCACCTTACAGATGAGGAAACAAACCCCAGAAAGGGTAAGTGATTCTCCTAAGGTCACCCATCTGGCGAGAAGTGGAGCCAGGACTCAGACTAGGCCCCAGGTCCTCTGATGCTGTGGGCTTTGCATTCTACTAGGATTCTTTTCCATAAACGATTTGGCACGAAACCCAAAGCCCAATGCACAAAGACGGCTACAGTAGATGGGTGAGCTCATCTCTCTGCAGGAAAAACTCAATCTTATTGTAATCACCTAAAATGCCCCTCCCCCAATAGTCTTAGTCAATTTGTTCACTCATCTTATTCCTCGCATTTGGTTCCAAGTGACTTTTGGCTTTTTTCAAAAATGAAAGCCACAGGGGCAGCTAGGTGGTGCAGTGGGAGGGCACTGGCCCTGAAGTCAGGAGGACCTGAGTTCAAATCCAGCCTCAGACCAAACACTTGACACTTACTGGCTGTGTGACCCTGGGCAAGTCACTTAACCCCAACTGCCTTTAAAAAAAAAAATGGAAAGCCACAAAGGATGAAGATTTGCCGTTGTGAAGGATACTGAACAGAACGTGGCTGTGATGTCAGTTCCAAAAGAGAAGCCCCAGCTCTAAGATTCTGTAAGAGAACCAAATGATGGCCTCATTGGAATAGGCTGATGGCCTCTCAAGGATGCCACTTTGAAGGGGATGTAACCTCCTTTTGAATGTTTGTGTAGAAAAATCAGTCTCGTTTCTTTATCTACCCCTTATATGGTGTCCTTACAGCTCTCTGAGCACAGGGCTTCTCCAGCCTCTCATTAATCAATGTCATTATCTTCCTGCTTTTTATGTCGAAGGAGTTCTTCTCTAGGTCTAATCTCAGACATCCCCCTTAATCACCTGGGATGTGCTGCCCTTGATATCACACTGCCTACGTTTTAAAAAATTGATACTTTTAAGAATATTGTAGCAGTCAACCTTGGCTTGGTTTTAAATTCTGTGAGTCAATAAGGTAGAACAGCAACCTTTGTAGAGCACTTTGAGGTTTTACAAAGTACTTTTCTCTTACAGGGGAATTAGTAGGTATTAGTAGTATTTTCCCTTGAAGGAAGTGCAACACAGAGATGTTAACTGTCCTGTCCAAGGTCATACAGCTAGAAAGTGTTAGTCAGGATTTGAATCCGGGGCTCCTAAATCCAGATCAGTGTTTGCTCTTCTTTTCTTTCTTTTGAAGTTTTATTAATGCCTTTTGCACCATCCTCTTTCCTTAATGTGTGTCCCATTGAGCTCTTCCCTGTAACAGAGACAGCATACATTCACTTCTATAGGCACTCACCTCTCTTAGATAGGAGGGAAACATCTTGTCATTTGTCCTCCAGGACCAAGATTGATTATGATAGAGTAACTTGAAGGACCGTTGTTTGTTGCACTGACTTTGTGTTTGCTCTGACAAATGCTATAGGAAGTCCTTCTGAGAGCAGCCCTCTCCAAGACCTTATCAACTGCCTGAAGGAAATTCTCGTCCAAGGACCTCAGCACCCCCGGCCTCTTGCTACTGGATCACTTCCTCAAAGCAGCCCGGGGGATATGAGACCAAAGACCCCAGACCAAAGACCCAGGGGCCCACCACCCTGGGCTGGTGAGTCACCTACAGCCAGTGTCCCTGAGGACCCTGTCTCTGAGGCTAAAGCTCCTACATCCTGGGCCCCAAGAAGATGTTGGTCCAGGCTATGGCTCTGTTTTGTGTTCTTGGAGTTGGGGGTGATGATGAGGGTAAAACTTGAGCTAGAAAGCTAGAACCTTGTTTCTGGGCTTTCTTCTATGTGTGATTTAAAGACCTCTAAGGAAGAGAGAGCTGAACCAGAGTTCCCACCCTCCTTTTTCAGGCTGTCATTTACTTGTGAACTGGCCATGACCAACCCACTAGGAGGGTGGAGGAGGATGGCTAGTCCTCCTGTGCCTGTCCAGCTATCCAGTGGTCCAGTATGTCTGTCTATATGTTCAACCAGTCCACAAGAACTTATTGAGCACTTACTATATTCTTCATGCTAATATATAATCATTTTTAGAGGATAGATTTGTGATTTCATTGGCATAGGAAACTCCCTCTGACAACACAGGTCTGCACCATCTCTGTAATTTATAATCTTAAAAGATTGCCTCAGGTTAAGTGACTTGCTCAAGGTCACATAGCCTGTGTGTATGTATGTCTGCCGAAGGCAGAACTTGAGCCCTGGTCCTCCTGATTCCGAAGCCAACTCTTTTACACTATACTCCTTTTTATTTAAAGTCATCCAGCTTTTTTTATTGTTAATATTAAATACATACTTTATGTTCATGAAAGTTAGGGTGGCTAGTTAGAAAGAGAGGGACCTTGGTGTCAGGAAGCACCTGGGTTTAGGTCCTATCTCTGACACATACTGTCTGACTCTGGGCAAGACCCTTGATCTCTCAGGGCCCCAGGAAACTCTGTAAGATTGTAGGTTATGAACAGGTATAGACTTACCTCGGTGGAGAGAATTTCTTCACTGGGAGTTCCATGTACCAATTAAGTCACAGGTCTGGACAAAGAGAATATAGTTTGTCTATACCTACATACACATATGTACATTCATACATACACATATCTATCAGATGTTCAGGAGTCTCTAGAGGAAATGACATTGACTAAAGTAGTTAATTTTTGTCTCCCAGGCATAGGAAAACTACCCAAAGCTACCAACCTCACCAGCCTACTGCCCCAAACTTCCATGTATTATTTATGATGCCATCTTCCTTTTAGATTTGTGTTACACTATTACATCTGTTTGCCCGACTTCATCCTCAGAAAACAACCCTGTGGAGCAAGAAGGACTGGTATTGTTCTTGCTATCTTTCAGATGAGGAAACTGAGGCACATGGAGGTTGATTAACTTAGATACTGACTTTCCCCCAGGACCAGGCAGCAACTTACTGGAAGAGCCAGAACCAGAACCCAGGTCTCCAAATCCCAGCCCTGGACTCCTCCCCACTCCCACCCCCTATCACTGCCCATTTCACACTCTATAGTACCTGTGACTGAGGGTCACATAGCCAAAGACTATGCCTGTGGAGTTTTGGCTAAAAGTTTATTCTTTCTTCCCTTAGTGAAGGCAGAAACCATTTCAGAAAATTCCCCACCCCAGGGCCTGCTGAACTGTCTTAAAGAGATTCCAGAAACTCAGGCCAGATGTGCTGGTCTCCCAGGAGGAGGGGTGCAGCAGCAGACAGGTGGTCCAGGGACTTGGCAGAAGTATTCTGGAGGTAAGGTGTGGGTTATCACGCACATAAACCTTGGACTGGAGAGGCAGTAGAGCGTTGGGTCTGGAGTCAGGAAGACCTGAGTTCAAATTCAGATTTAAGACACATTCTAGCTATGGGACCCTGGGAAAATCACTTAAACTATCTGCCTCAGTTCCCTTAACTGTAAAATGAAGATAATAACACCACCTCCTAGGTTTGTTGTGAGGATCAAACAAGGTAATATTTGTAAAGTCTTTAGCCCAGTGTCTGGCATGTAACAGGCACTTAATAAATGCTTGTTTTCCTCCCTCCAAACAGGCCTATACCTAACCTAGGTAAATGACCTTTAGTGCTCTTTGAGTGCTGTCTAGGGATAAAAGTGAACCTGATTCTGAGCCTGTCATATGCATTTAGCCAAGTATATACAGAGAACATCATAAGTACTCAGAGAATACCTCTTGAGTGATTGCCTGTTCCATCCCTGTATTAGGAGTTGTGATCGGAATTAAGAATGAGAAGGCTCAGGCTCTGACCTCCAGGAGTTCACAGGGAATTTAACAAGAGAGACAGGACATAAAGAAAAGGGGGGGAAAAAAAGAAAAGGGAAACAAGATGACATTTTTTTTTCACTCAGTGCTCAGACACTGGCACTTACAGATGGGAATTAAAGCATGGAAAATCCTAGAATTATTGAAGTTTGACTTTGGACCATACAAGCATATTTAATTAACTTGCATTAATTTCTCTCTCCAACCCCCATTTTTCATTTGCTGTTTTATGTGGAAAAGGGATTAACTTTATTCTCCATCGCCCAAGAAGGTATTACCCAAACCAAGGGTTGGAAGTTTCAGGGTGGCATGCTTCAATTCAGTATTTTTTAGAAAACTTCCTAACAAGGAACAGCATAATTCAGGAGAACTCAATCAGTCAGCAAGCATTTGTTAAGAGCGTTAACAAAATAAATAAATATATAGTAAAACACAAATAATGTTAATCTGTGACTTTCTAAGTCAATATCCTGCTGTTTGTATTTGAGTTTGATATCACTGCTGTATGCTATACATTGTGCTAGGTGGGGGATAGAAGTACAAAAATTTGATATTCCTTGACCTCAAGAAGCTTATATTCTACTAGGTAAGAGGTTTCTACTTTGAGGGTATGTGAACTTGTTCTTTTTTTAAAGCATGTTGAAAACTATATTTCAGTGTAATTGATTTCCTTTGTGATCCTGTGTTTTATTGTATGCATTTAAAAATATTATTTGAGAAAGGGTCTATAGGCTTCACCAGACTGCCAAAGACGCCCTCAAAAAGAGGTGAAGAACTCTTGGATTAGAGGGGTATAACATATTGGTGGCTGGGGAAGGGAGCTCTGGTCTGTTCTATGCAATAACAGGGATTGTTTGCAGTAGCAATGGTAAATCTACTTGATTATTGTCCCCTGAACAAGAGGAGAAAAGCTAGGGGTTGGGGGAGGTACATAGGTGACAGCAGGGCAGGTGGTAGGATGTCTGCATCTGTTAAACCCTGGTGTGTGACATCTGAATAGGACAGAGCCTGGAGTAGGGGCTGGCTAGACTTAGTGAGAATTGACTCATTCACTGTCCAATCTAGGGCAACTTGGGCGCAGGGTGAATTCCTAAACTGGGTAGATCAACTAAGCCCAGAATGTGTGTGGTAGGGCAGGGTCTCTGAAGGCCTGTGCCCAGAGGGTTGCTTTTCTTGGTGTAGAGAGGTGGGCAGTGGCAGAGAAGATGGAAAGTGGCCAAACTGGACAGCTTCTGGTGACTAGGTGGAAAGTGTGCTGGATTTGGAGCATGAGGCCTTGGTTTCAACTTCTAATTGGGCTGATTACTAGCGCTGCGATCTTGGATGATTCACTCAACCTCAGTAGATCTCAGTTTCCTCATTTATATAATAAGCTCTCCACTAAATCTTCAGCCTATAATTCTAATGAATTAAAGTAAACTGGAAATGAAATTGTCTGCCTTATGGGGTTGGTGAATTTCCCATAGGATGAAAGCTAAAAAGCCTTAAAGGCTTAACTTCCTTATTTTATAGGTGAGGAAACTGGGGCACGGAGAGATTAAGTGACTTCCCTACAGACACATAGGTAGTAAGTAGAAGATCTGAGATTCAAACTCAGGTCCTCTGACTCCAGTTTATATGCTTTTTCTATTACAATATTATACTATACAATACTATATTATGCTATACAGCACTTTTCTAGGGGCTTCTGAGTGAAGGCTGGATCGACACTTATTGGAATATTTTTGAGTAGGAGCTGGACGAGATGAACTCTGAGCTTCTAACTCTGATTCTATGATTATTTTCATTCTACAGGGGGTTAAAAGAGAGAACCCTGCATCACCAACCCTTTCCATTTACTGAAGGACTGCAACTCATTTGTAGCTACATAGCAGTAGAGATAATTGGAATCTATTTCTCCTAATAAGTGAGATAATACAAGAGGGATCTTTGTGTGAGGCTGTTAGCAAGTATAAATTAATGTGTTAATAAGGTGAAAATGAAAGTGCAAGTTGGCTTGCAAAGTTGATGAAAGGTAGTGATTTTATTTAGGATTTTCTGCATCTTTTCAAGTTTCCGGTATGGGCCTAGGAGAACTAAGTGTCTGCTGCAGCCTCAGGTCACACTGCTTTAGGGCTGATGGCTAACTAGAATGTCAAATAAATACACTTGTTTCTTTTCTGAATCTGCTTTTAACAGTTACCATGGTTTGCGGCCAAGCTTAGGGCCAACTGCCAACAGAGGTGGTTAGGGAAAGCTGGGGAAGTTAGGGGGAAAAAAAGCTAGAGAAAGCTAGAGACTTGGATTATGAGCAAGAATTGAGAAGTTGGCTCTGCCTTAATGGTTCTCTTTCTGCAATTCAGTTCAACAAACTTTTACACAATGCCCACTCTACACAGATACAAGGCACTAGGCTAGCTTTGGGGAATGTAAATATTAAGTATGATACGGTCTTTGTCTTCAAGGAACTTATATTCTACCAGATTGGGGAAGGCAGTGGAAAAGTACAATCTATACACAGGTAAGATAAGCGTACATATGTACTCTTCCATCCAGGAACACTGATCTCCTGGTTGTTTCTTGAACAAGACCCGCCATCTCTCCGATCAGGGATTGGCTCTAGGTGTCCTCCATGCCTGGAACACTAGCCCTCCTCCACTCTACTTACTGACCTACCTGGCTTCCTTTAGGGCCTAACTGAAATCTCACCTTCTACAGGAAGCCTTCTCCAACCCCTTACATTCCAGTGCCTTCCCTCTGTTAATCATTGCCTATTTATCCTGCATTTCGTTTGCTTTGGATATATTTGCTTTGCATATATTTATTTATATATTATCTCCCCCATTAAATTGTAAGCTTCTTGAGGGCAGGGACTGTCTTTTGCCTTTCTTTGAACCCCTAGCACTTAGCACAGTACCTGGCACATAGTAGGTGCTTAATAAATGCTTATTGATTGATTGATGAGTATAATACAAGGTAAGGAAACAATGAGGAGACCAAGGAAATTTCCAGACACAGTTGTCTAGGAGAACTTGAGGAGAGAGGTCACTTTCACCTGGAGTGAGGTATTAGAGTAGAAGGAATAAGGGAAGGCTTAAGGAAGAAGGTGTTATCTGAACTGAGCCTTGAAGGAAGATAAGGTTTCCAAAGGGTAGACATGAAGAAGGGAGTTCATTTCAGGAATGTGGAAAGGCTTTAAATGTGCAGATTTAGGGAGCTGTTGGTGGTGGTTTGGTTAGGATGTAAAGTAATGTGAAATTAGGCTAGGGAGTTTAATTGGAGCCAAAATGAGGAAGGACTAAGGAGCTTGTATTTTGTCCTAGGGAGCCACTGAAAATGGTTGAGTAGGGGAGTGACCCAGATCTGTCCCTCAGGAAGATTATTTCTGTAATGTTGTGGAGATTGGACTGGAGAGGGGAGAGACTAAGGTAGGGTGACCACTGAGCTGAGCTGGGAAAGCTAAGGACAACAAGGATTTGGACTTTTCTCAGCATGTTTGGGGAAAAGAAGTGAAAGCACTGCTTCTGGCATAGGTAGAAGGACGGTAATCTGAACTGCAGAAAGAAGACAGAACTGTTCAACGTTCATTTTGCATCTGTTTTCTCTGCCAAGGAGAATGATGGTCAGGCTGGAAAGGATGGAAAAAAAATGCCTATAGGGAGTTTGCCAGCCAAGAGGAGTATAGGACCAGCAAGAGAGTAGCTTGGTGCTGTTGATGAGTTCACATCACCAGACCTAGAAGAACTACATTTCCCAGTAGCAAAAGAACTGGCAGACATGATCCTGAGTCACTGTCAGGAACCTTTTAAAAATGATAGAGAAATACAGCCTGGGGACAGAGAAAGGGAAATCTGTCGACTTTTTTTTTTAAAAGGAAAGAATGAAATCTGCAAACTGTAGGTCAGTACATTCATGCCAGTGGAAGGAGAACTGGATTCAGATTCTAGGATCTCGGTTCAAATCCTCTTGTCTGTGTGACCTAGAGAAGCTCCCTTGCTTCTTTGGGTTGCTGTAGGGTGATGGGCGAGTGCCTTTGTCCATTAGTGCAGACCCTAAAATGAAGGGGTTAGATTAGATGACCTCCAAGTTCTGTTCTAGCTCTAAACACATCATTCTTTGTATAAGTAGAGCATATATCAGATTGCACGCCGTCTTGGGACTAGGGGAGGACAGAGAGGGGGAGAAAATTTAAAACTCAAAATCTTATGGAAATGAATGTTGAAAACTAAAAATAGATTAATTAGTTATTTTTTTAAAAAAATCACACATGATTCTTTCTGCAGTTAAGATGGAAGGGACCGGCGAGGACGCTTGGGCCCACAGCCCTCCGAGCTACATCCCTGACACTCCTACTCCTGTGTCCAGCCAGCTCGGTGCACGTCCCCATGGCTTCTCCACTAGTAACAGCGTGGAGGGTGATGGGAACCTCCTGGGGCCAGAGGGGCCAGCTTGGACCCCAATGAACCAAGGTGAGCGCTGGGTGCTGTTGTAGCAGAAGGCAGGATTGAAGTTCATTAGTCTGAGTTGAGTACATCCTTTTCCTTGCCTGTCAGCCCTGTGAACTCCCAGTTTCCATCTTCCTGGTCATAAGAACTCTGACAGTAAATAGAGAAAGAACTGGTTGTCCCTCCCTGGAAATAAAGCCTGCCCTTTCATTTTCCAGTAGTTTATTAGTTATTTGAGAATCCCAGAGACCTTAGGCTCTGAAAGCTCTCCACAGATTTTCTGGTTTCTGCCTTTATTTTGAGAGAGAGCAGACCTGAAATCTCAGGGAAGGACATTTGCATATTCCAATGGGCGAGGAATCTCAAGGGTTATCGAAATGCACTCTAATCTCTAACCCACATCCCTCATACTGCAGATTAAGCCCACTTCTTGCTCAATCTTAAGTGAAGATACAACATGATGTAACCAAAAAGAGTATTGGCCTGGAAGGCTGAAGACCTGGGTTTTAATTCTAGGTCTATCACCTAATAGCTGTGAGACCTTGGACAAATCACTTTCTGTCTCAGTTTTTTCATTTGTAAAATGAGGGAGCTGGATTAGATAATCTCTAAGGAGCTTTTGTTCTGATTTACTGAGCTGGAGAAAAGCTAGAAACCATTGATAGAGTGATTCTGTGTGGACCTAAAGACGGTTCATGTTTCCTTTTTTCACTCCTTCCGTATTCAGGCTAGTGTCTGCTCCTTTGTGCCAACATGCTAGCTGTTTTCACAGCCCTCTTTTCTGTAATGATTTAATGACTAATATGAAGTTAAAGTCCCCCATCTTTTTAGTCCTTGACCTAGAGCTGAGCATGGGGCACTTTGATTATCCCTGCATCATTAGATAGGAGATTCAATATTGCCTGTGAGGGCATTCCTTGCAAACTGGCTTTCCCAGGGCCAAGTTCTTCTTGTGTCCTTATGTTGAGGCCTGGAGTCAGGGATGGTGTCATGCACCCATGGTATCTTGCTGGTGATGATGATTGTACAGGGATGTCTCTTGTCCTAGCTGGCAGTGCCCAGAGCTCACCCTTGGAGGCCCTGGAAACCTATCTGAAGGACATCCCCCTGAACAGATCACTACGACCCCAGCCACTAAGCAACTACTGGTGCCTGAGCCCTGGGCAGGTGGAGATGGTTCAGCGAAGGTCTGACCCACGGGCCCGGAAGTGGCATGTGGAAGGTAAGTGTGGTGCTTGTCACAAAGAGGCAGTGATAGATATTAAGTGATGAGGGAGAGAGAGGACTATCTAATCCTAACTGGGACACCCCAGCAAAACCTCAGTTTAATTTGTCTTTGTCTCCTACCCCAGCACCCTTTCAGGTTTCCCTTCAAAAACCCCAATCCCCACCAAATCCCCAGGGTCCCCATGTGGTTCCCTGATCCTATGATCCTACAGAGTTCTAAAGAGAGAGGCTGCCCCTGCCTACCTTCCCCAGACAGCCCTTCAAGCTCCTCTCATTAAAAGGCATCTGTTCCATTCCAGTCCCACAGGGCCTTCAACATTCAGCAGTTGAACTTGGTAAATGAACGCTTGCTGAGTATATGAAAGAGTACAAGTGGGTCAGTGGGTTACCTCATCCAAGCGAGAGTCGCGTGTTAACAGTGGCCTTCAGTGCCTTAACTGAAAGGAGTGACTGGGCCTTTTAGGCCCTGTGGCAGGCTGTCAAAGAAATGCTGAGCCACGAATCAAACAGTACCACAGAATTAACTGGTCAGCGTTCCTCATCTGTAAAATGAAGGGGATGGACTAAATGTCCTCTAGGGCCCCTTTCCAACTCTTGATTTCTGATCTCATGATGTTGGCCTGGTTTTGCATTCTAGGTTATAATTGAATCTGGGAATCTTTGCTTCATGCTGGAATAGACACAGCTAAGCCATCTCATCCTCATACATTCCTGAGGGTCCCACAGTGTGTTTCTAATCCCTGTTTCCCCCACTCTGGGAGGGATTTTTCATCTGGGCAGATCACTAAGGATTATTTCTGGACCAAAGCCTTGATGATGGTGGTGTGTTTTTCCACACAGCGGTGACCACAGGTTCACTGGCACCACCTGGCTATGTGAAGGATCTCTCTGCTCGCCGCCTGGGTCACCTTAACACCCCCAATAGCTTCTCCTCAGCCAGCAGCACAGATGGGGACCTGGATCTCAGAAGCCCAGAAGGGAGTCAAGGTCGATGGTGCAGAGAAGGTGAGGTGGACCTCCCAGGCCATGTCTTCAGTTACTCAGATGAGATGACAGTGGAAGCTGAGGTGGGGGATCCCCTGGTGAGGAAAGACTTTGAGGAATCATTCCATCTCTATCCCTGTCCCTGTCCCTGGCTAGTATTTCACCTAATCAAGGCACAGTTGTCTAGGTAGTGCTTGAATTACTGAGTGAGGAACCGAATTGGTTCCTGCACACAAGGAGTTTCTAATCTAATCACACAGCCCATTAAAGGCTGTAAACGGCAAGGCCAAAGGTGTCTCTGGGGTTTCCATTTCTAGAATAACGCTCTCCTCCCTCACTAAAGTCTCCTTTGGCCTTAAGGTTTACCAGAACTTGCCTCTGCCCTGAGGACATCACATTCCTTGCGATCTTCTCTTTCAGAGGTCACTCCTGTGTCCGCTCTTCATCTCACAGAGCCATTCTCAAACACCATCTGTAAAATGGACATAACAAAACTTAGCATACACACACCTTGACCTCCGCTGCCACTTCCAGAGACCATCCCTCAATCTGGTTTTCTCTTTTAAAGCCTGTGTAATTCACTTGTACCACTACCCTTGTTGCTGCTATCTAATGACCTCCCAACTCATTCAGGGACTTGAGCACCACCTGGTTCCTGTGCTCTGTGTTCCTCATTCCCCACCCCCTTGGGAGATCGGACATAAGTATAGATATTGGCAATGACTCTATCAATCCGACCACACAATTCTTCAATCTCCTCCACTCTAATGATTTCCATTGATGCCTCACTTAAGCTACACACTGTAACATAGTTGGGCTTGAGACCTCATCATCTCTTGGGATTGCACCAACTGTAAGGTCAGAATTTTGAAATTCCAGCTTCCAGATCCTAGCTCTTATCCTTCTGTGCCTCCACTCCCTTGCCCTTACAGCAAGCCATCCTTCATCTCCTGGTCTTTGTTCCCCTCGCCTCGTACCTATCCTTGACCCCATATCCTTCCACTTTAAAGTTTCACTGCCCTAGTCTCTTGCTTCCTATTTCAGCCTCATCTCTGGGTAACCCCCATTGTCCAATTTATTTACAAAATCACAGTATGTGATCTCATTCAAACAGGTCCTTGGCAGTGCTTGAGAATCAAAATCACAGAATGTCAGAGTTGGAAAAAAACCTCTGAGGTCATCTAGGCCAAACCGGTGGTGCCTGAAAAGAACCCTTCAGTGCTCTTTTTTTTTTTTTTGCCTTTGTTCTTAAACTGCAAACATTTCCTGTTAATCCTCCCCCTGCAGTGAACTCTTCCTTGAATTTAAAAAAACAAAAAAACTTTTAAGTAGAATTGATTGACGCAGTGTAGTATCTAACAGTGTATACCACATTCTACATCCATAGTCTCTGACTCTCTGCTGAGATGAGGAAGGAACCTTTTATCAATTCTCTAGGACCAAGATTGGGGCAGCTAGGTGGCACAGTGGATAGAGTCAGGAATAGTCAGGAAGGATAGGTCAGGAAGACCTGAGTTCAAATTCAGCCTCAGACACTTACTAGCTATATAACCCTGGGCAAGTCACTTAACCCTGCTTGCCTCAGTTTTCTTATCTGTAAAATGAGCCGGAGAAGAGAATGGCAAACCACTCCAGTATCTTTGCCAAGAAAACCCCCAAGAAGAGTTGGATACGACTGAAATGACACAACAACAAAGGACCAAGATTGTTCAACCAATGACTTTTTTAAAAATTTATTTTATAGGTCTTTCTAATTAACAGTGAGCAAAAAAAAGGTACATGAAACACTAGATCTCTCTTATGAAGAGCTTGCTTTTCTTTTTAAGTATATGATAAATTCAACTTGGAATTTTCAAAACTGTCTTGCTTGTCTGTGCTTCTTTTTGGCCTTTCTATTTTATTCTCTGCATTTAAAAAAAAAGATGTCTTAATAACCTTTTTTCTTTTCTTTTTTTATCATTGACCTCCTTGAGGTATAGTAGTGGAATTTTGGGATCAGAGTAGTTTTATTTGCATAATTCCAAATTGTAACAAGTTACTTTTTAATTACCAAGTCCAGTAGCTTTTTGTCAGGCCTTATCCACTTTGACCCCTTCCTGCCACCAGGTTCTCCCCCTATGCTGAGCTTCAGAGACACACCAATCTCTCCTGATTTTCCTCCTAGCCCTTTAACTGTTCCTTTCCTGTCTCCTTCATCCTGTCTCCTTCACTGCCTCATCTTCTTCTTTCTAGCCTTTCAATCTATTTCCTGAGAAGTTCTGCTTGCTACTTGGTTCTCTTCTCTCTTGGCAGTCACATCCACTCCCAAGGCTGTTGAACCACTTCCATTTAGATGTTTCTCAGATATTTTCTTGAGTCTTGATTCTTCATCTATCCTCCAGACCCATAGGTTTGCGTAAACCCAACTGTTTGCAGGATATCTCCACCTGGATGTCTTTCAGATAGTTCAAACTCAACATGTCACAGTCTGAGGTCATTATCTTCCTAAACCTGTTCTTCCTTCCAATTTTGCTATTTCTATTCATAGTGCCTCCATAATTTACCTTTTCTCCCCTACTTGAAGGCTCAGGGTTATCCTTGACTCTTCCTTTTCCCTCAACACTCACATACAAATAGTTACCTAGTCCTATAGATTCCACTTTCTACAACGTCTTTCCCAACCATCCATCCCCTACTGTCTGTTTCCACTGGCCCTCATTAGTCCTTGCCTGAATTCTTAAAAAAAACACATCACAGACTAGTTATCTGGAAGGGATAATTTTGTCCAACCCCTTTCTTTTACATATGAGTAAACTGAGGCCTAGGGAGGTGGTATCTTGACAACATCACACTGCCAATAATGAGGGTGGATTTAAACACAGGTCTTCTCACTTTAAATACCATGCTATTTCTATTATATCTGCCTCCTTACAGGTCTTCCTACCACAATTCTCTCCTTTAGTCTATCCTTCATAGCACTACCAGAATAACCTCTTTTATACAAAATTTTAGTGTAGTTTTAAGTTTTAACAACTAAGTCTTTGCTATTGTTCAGTCATGTCCGACTCTTTATGACCCTGTGGGCCAAAGCACGCCCGTACTGTCCATAGAGTTTTCTTGGCAAAGATACTAGAGTGATTTGCCATTTTCTTCTCCAGTGGATTAAGGCAGGGAGAGGTTAAGTGACTTGCCCAGGGTCACACAGATAGTAAGTGTCTGAGGCCAGATTTGAACTCAGGTCTTCTTGACTCTAGGACCAGCATTCTATCTACTGAGTCACCTGGCTACTTCCTAGGTCTGATACAGGTCTAATCCAGTTTTTCTGCTCAGAAAAGCTTAAACTCGTCTGTCATTTAAGAGCTTCCCCAATCTGGTGTCACCCTACCTTAGTATCTTCTGTATTCTCTACATTCCAGCCAAACTGCACTGTTCTCCCCCCACCCCCCACATCCCTCCCCAGCTCTTGCCCAATGTGGTTCTATACCTTTGCTCACATTGTTTCCTAGGCCAGGAATGTTCTGCTTCCCTCTCTTCATTTGTTGAATTTAGCTCCTCTTTCAAAGCCTATCTCATCCAGAAAGCCTGTGATTCCGCTGACGTTAACAAACTTTCTTCCCTCAGATATTGCATTACACTTTGTAACACTCTAAGGCACTTATTAGGTAATATTGTGTATTATAGACTGCTCTGTTTGATGTCTTATTCCTCTACTACACTGGAAATTTCTTGAGGAGCAGAGACATGTCTTACCTAAACTTTCTATCTCTACCAGTACCTAGTACAGTGCTCTGAACATAGTAGGCACTTATTAAATGTTTGTTAATGTGTACTGTCCATAAAACTATGCCAGGACTAACAAGGACTTTTGGTGCTACTTTACCCTGGTTTGACACAAATGAATGGTCTTGTGCTCATGGACCTCAGACAGCTTGGGCAGAGATTTGGGGGTTCAAAGCCCCGAGACTTGCAAACTCAAAACTGCACAGCTAAAGCTGAGATTGTTTGGTTTCTGCAGCAAGTCCAATTGGGAGCTCTCCCCTCCAGGGCCTGGAGAACTGTCTCAAAGAGATCTCCACAAACAGGCCTCACCTCAGCCAGCCTGCCTCATTGTTGGCCCCAGCAGGGAATGGGATATCGAGGAGAGTGGAACCCAGGTGCAGGACTTCAGACAAGGAAGGTAAACCAGACCTGGGGTGTGTGTGTGTGTGTCTGTGAACTAGTGCGTGCTTATGTCCGTGGGAGCAGGGGAAGGAAGGTCCTAACACTTGATGAAGTGAACGCTTCTCTTTCAGAGACCTGTGATCTGGTCCAGGATTTAAGAGGAAAAAAATCCTATTTCAAAAGACTTGTCATCCAAACCTAAGTCAGACAACCATTAGAAGTTTGTGGCTAACTTGAGCCAGCCCAATACTTTACCATTTTGAAGAAGAGGAAACTGAGGTCCCCTAAATTGACTTGCCCAAGGGCATAGAGGAAATGTCACAAGTGGAACGTGAAGCCAGATAGTTCTCCAGGGCCAGTACTCTTTCCTGCCAAAGCAGAATGAACGTCCTTTGATTTGCTGGCGTGGTACTAACGTTGACCGGTGCTGGTTTTGTTGACTTTCTGTGCTGCCTTTATCTACACTGTTGTAGTAATTGTCAGTTCTTTAGACTCCATTTTCTTTGTCCTGAACAACTTTCTACAGGGACCCCATGTTTCTCTGAATTCTTTACCACCATTCCTTCTGCTGGGTTGTTTCCACTGTATCACAAAGTACCTCAGGGCTGGCTTCTAAGCCTTCAGCGGCATCAGTGGCCTCTGTGCTTACCAACTAAGTCTTTCAATTCCAGGTGAATTGGCAGGACTGGCTGTGCTATTCCTTCACTCCCAAATGTCCTGGCCCGTTTCCCAGGGGGAAGAAAAAGAGCCATGTCTAGAAGCAAAGAGTATCCTGGAAGACTCTAGGGGTCATAGCCCCTGAGAATATGGACTAACCTTTTTAAAAATTATTTTTTTTCTAATTACTATTCATTGATTTTCTTACCTTCCCACTCCTTCCCCTCTTTCCATTAAACAATTTAAAAACAAAGAAAACCAAAAGCCTCATAACAAATATGCATGGTACAGCCCAACAAATTCCTACATTGGCCATGTCTAAAATAGATGTCTCTTCACTTTAAGTTAATTACCTCTCTCAGTTAGGTATAGGTAGTATGTTTAATCTTTAGTCCTCTGGAATTGACACACTTGTATCCTTTGAAACTTAGTGGCTGACCCACTCTTTGAAAAAAACTGCTGGAAAAACTGGAAAAGAGTATGGCAGAAACTAGGCATAGACCAACATCTCACACCATATACCAAAATAAAGTCAAAATGGGTTCATGATTTAGATATAAAGGCTGTTACTATAAGCAAACTGGGAGAGCAAGGAATAGTTCACCTATCAGATTATGGACAACAGAAGAATTCATGACCCAATGGGAGATAGAGAAAAGCAAAATGAATAACTTTGATTACATTAAATTAAAAAGTTTTTGCACAAACAAAGCCAA